AGGGTCACACCCCGCCGGGACGGGGGGAGCTCCTGCAGGCGGGGGCCGCCTGAGGTGCCCGCAGCGCCTCACACCGCCGCGGTGGGTTTTTTTTAAGAAAACCTGCAGCGTCGGGGGTCAGTAGTTTGGCTTGTATTAATGTAGATACACAGCAGTCGCTTGTTAGGCGGATCCTCAAGGACAAGCCGCTATTTCAGCTTTTGGAAAGCAAAGCTGCGGGGAACCCTCTGAAAGGCGCGACCACCAGGAACTGAGCTGAATCTTGTGCGGCTTAATAAGAACAGCATCGGCTCAAGCAGGGACTTAAAAAGGAGAGGCTGTCGGCAAATGAGGCAGGAATTGATCAATCCTGTTTCAGGCATAGAATCATGGAATAGTTTGGGTTGGAAGAGATCCCTGACGGTCATCTAGTCCAGCCCCCCTGCAAGGGACATCTTTGGCCAGATCATCTGGTGTGCAGCCCTTGGAGCCATCCCCTGGCTCTGTCCGGGGCTCTCTGGCTCCCTGATTTGACATTGCCCATGTAGACCGAGACCGGGGGGCACGAGGCAGGCAGTGTCGTCTTGCAGATGATTTAGGTTCAGTCCCTCAAGTCCCTCAGACTTAGGACTCAGCACAACAGTAAGCCAAGCACCAGCTTCGCTACTGCAAGGAGATTTGCTCCACACAGCAGTGGCCAGAATCTGCGTTCTGAGTTTGGCGGATCTGTGCCCCTGCAGGAGAAAGCAGTCGGTCCCGTTACCCACAGAATCAGTGCGAGCCAAAAGGCAGTCACTGCTGTGGCTGGGAGGGTGCGAGCCCACCCAATTTCAGCAGTGGTGTGGTCTTACACCCAGTTCAAGCTGAACTTCGCTACATCAGTTTGCATTTGTTATCCCAGATTCAGATGCTAGCAGGCTGTTACACTTAAACCAATATATAACCAAAATGTGGAGAATAAATCTATCGGCCTAGCTTGGTAACTCAGTGCTGGGCATTCATGGTTTCACATTTCTCCCCCTTTTCAGTGCTAAGTCCTAGTTCTTACGTGCCTTTGCAGAAGATTTTCTTAAGCTATAGTTCTTGTAGTTCTTGTAAGGTGCAGTGAGCTCATCTGACAGCTCAGTGCGCTCAGAATGAGGCTTTTGCCACTTTCTTTGTGCTAGTACTAGCATTGATAAGATCCTTCTACGAGCAGCTGTAAATCATTAAAATAGCATAAAGCTATCATTATATGATTTTCTACTGGGTTGCTGGAGCGGTCCACGGGAAGATTCAGTGAACACCTGAAGTGGCGCAAGGAAACAAAGCAGACTTCCCAATTTTCATTTGCCTGTCAGTCTACAAGGGGCATTCAGCTTCCTGTGAATCTGTAGGTTGTATTGGGTTATCAGAATCGTGAGGAAGCTCAGAAAACACTGTGATGATAGGGTTGCACATATGAGTAACCTGAACACAGTCTGTGATACAATTTGAAAAAAAAGTAAATTCAGATCATGTTATTTAATGGTGGCTGTAATTAAGGAGCTCAGACAAATTTAGGTAAGACTAACTAGTTAGAAAAATAGTGCATTTATTATTCATCCTAAACTATGTTGGGTAAAGTAACTGTGATTTATCTTTCTTGTCAGATTTCCGATACACAATGCAGAAGAGGTTTCCATCAATTCTGGAAGGTAGGTTTGTAGTTGTCGGCTTCAGAAGGATGGCCGGAGCTTCCGTTGCATCTTATGTATAAAACCGATTTTACTATTGCTTAAAGCTTACCCCAGGAGATACTGCAGAAGGGTTTATTGTTATGCATAGGCGCGGCCGGAGTGTCAGACTGTTGGATAGAGTCCTCAGAACTGGAGGAATACGCATCCCACAAAACTAGGCACAGAGTGGCTCACCTTCAGCCATGCCTGACTTACAGCTGACATGGATTTTCCTATTTTTCAGTGTATTACAAATCCAATGAGTGGTCTGGAATTCATGGCATAAGGGAGCATGACCAAATGACATGGTTAAGCAGCAAGAACTGAAGTAAGAAAGATGTGTGATTAATTAAAACATTATTTTAGAATAATTATTGTAAAAATGTCCACATTAAAACATCCAGTTCATCTTTTTGATTTCCTGCCTTTGTACTTGTTTTTCAGTCCTCTGTGCCTGAACTGTTTCTTCTTTTTGATGATGCTTTTCACATCCCTATTGTGAAGCCACTTGTCACGCTCTATTTCCCACTGGATCTGTTTGATGTCTGTAAGAGGGAAAGTGAGAAATAATTGCCGATGGATACCTCTGACCAATATGTAAAAGTTGAAACTTGGCTATTGTATTTATAGATGTTAATAAAGTGCAAGCTGCCAATTTCTTTTTTTTTTTGACACCAGAGAAAGTTTTGGTTTTTTCATTTCACAGAACATACAGAGTTTAAGACCACTCTTGCCACTGCGTTGTATTTTACTAAAGCTAGACACACTTGTGTTAGGAGTACACAGTGTGTGAGTGCTGCTGTTAACATTCTTCACGTGACACCAGCAAGGCTCATAAAAGCTCTACAAAGGACTGGTTATCCAGTCAATATGTACACATTTAATTCATTAGAATTATTTCTGGGAAACTACTTTTGCCTCACCGATACTGCAAGGAAATACTCCAGTAGGTAGATAAAGACAGCCATGCCTCACACCTTCCCTTCATGAGAATCCAGGACACTCTTTATCAGAGCAAAATTCCCATTACCGCTTGACAAAGAGCACACTGCCCGTCCTTATTTACAGTGGGAAAGGGCCACACCAGAGCCTCTTCCTCTCTTCTGAAGCCTTACTGACTCCAGTAGTCACAGTTCGTATTAGCACTGGGCATCTCTCCTAACTGATGAAAACTAAATCATGTCTTACTGACATTGAGCTGCTGTCCCTACTGCATGATTTCTGACCATGTGTGTATTTCGGTTAAAGAAGGTACATCTTTTTAGGTACAGAATCTGAAGAGAAAGAAGTAAATCAGCATTACAACTATCTGCTATTTGTAGGATGTACTTACTTGCATTATCTCTGTTGGCCATGGCGTTCATTCCGATATTGTCAAACTTAGACCCAGCATTTTCATCCAGCAGATAGCCAAACTTTAAAGAGAGAAATGTTAGTATTTTATTACAAAGAAACAGGTAAAATGCTTGATCACTTTTTGCTAAGCACTGATCAAACTCACCTCTTCTGCAGATGCCAGTATACTGGCATCTTTGAGTTTTCTCTTCTTTCCTCGGTTGGATCCTTCAAACAAAAAGTATGATGCTTACAAGACAGAATTTTAAGTTCACAAAGACACAAAAACAAAGTGTTACCGTATTTTAATTTTTTTAAAGACTTATTTACTGATACCATCTGAAATAGCTGTTAGAAACCTTTATTCTCCACCTCCCCTAAAAAAAAAAAAAAAAAAGAAAAAAAAAAAAGGAAAAAGTCATTTCCAACCAAGAACTAAATAGCACAAATCTGTGGATGAGGCATTAGCAATAGATGCACAAACCTCCAGTACAACTCCATCCTTCCTTCAAAAGCTCCTCCTTCAATTCCCAGTCAGACTGTCACTCTGAATTAGGCCACACTGGTTGGAGGACAACCTCCTTTTTGTTTACAGTGTATTCAAATCTGCACCCAGATACAACAGTGTAGATAATCCACTGTACTGAAACCCTCCGATTCCAAAGTCTTCCAGACTGTATTTGTATTAAGCCTTCTCGGGTGGAAATCACGGCAGTGTTTCCTTACCTTCAAATGAACCCACAAAATTCATGTCTTTCTTCCTCTTGCCCTTTTGACTGACAGACTTCAATTGCTTGTCATTGTTCGGGTCTGACAGAAAAAGAAAAAAAAAAAACCAAAACACATGAATCCCTCATTCTCGCACCACGTACATGTATTTAAAGCACAGCAGAGACTAAAATTTCTTTTTAGGCATATTTGTCATAATGGCCCAAGTCTTTACTGTAAAAAAGTTAAGAACACAGCATGCGCAACCAATCTGTGATTTCTTCAACCCAAACAATTAAAAATCGGTCAGTGGCGTGCCATTCTTTATGCTTTTTGTTTTTTTTTCCCCACAGCACCAAAATGGAATTAAATATGATACTAAGGTACATAAAATATGAAGGCTAAAAGCAGGCGTTATGTAAACCTGGATTGCCTGCTTGGTATGTTTGGTGAGATAATAATCTCATGAAAGATTAATGTGTCAACAACAGTATGAATAGTTTACCTTCCCTACCCTCAATTATCTTCCTGTGACCTTAAGTTATTAGTTGAAATACTCCATTAATCTGTGCTCTTCCAGCCACATAAGGTGTATGCTGTGTAAACTCCGCTTTTCAGCTGAAAATATAATAAACCCATGCAGGTGCAGTGATCAGTTATTTTTACAGTGGAAATAAAAATTTGGGTGCATAGCTGTATTAAGAGTAAGCTGTGACTTATCAGGCAGCAATTTAAATAAAAGTTACCTCATCTAAAAAGATCAACATTAACTAGGTCTAAAGAGATTAAAAAATTACTTAGTACCAATATTTTATTTTTCTCTTTGAGATCTTTTAATATTTCTGCCTACTGCTGCCAGTTATTTGTGTATAAAACTACTTCTGTTACATGTTTCATTCATGTTTTTTTCCTTCTTCATTGTCCAGAGAAGGACTTGTCGCTTTCTTACTTAAAAGCCAAACGTCCCACCACTTAAAAGCCAAACCTCCCACCTAGGTAACTAAATCTGAATTTATGTATGTAATCACATATTAGATAACCTATTTTTAAAGCTTTTTCATCTCGTTTTTTGATAACAAATGTTACTTTACCTAGGCTGTTATCATCATCAGACACATCCATAAATACGCCTCCCTCTTCATCCATATCCTCTCCAAAGTCTTCCTCCATACTTCCTAAGGAGACTTCCTCATCATCCAGATCACTGAATTCATCTTCATCATCAGAATCCTCCCAGTCAGCACTGGATTCCTCACTTCTTTGTCCTTTCTTACCACTGCTGGTTTTCTTTTTTATATTACTAAAAGAAAAAAAAAAAGTAAGAAGCTTAGCACTTCACCTGGCAAAATCCTGTTTGCATCCAGGTAACACCGATCTACCACCAAACACTATGTCAGAAAAATTCAACCTCACTGCAAACTACTGTAAATGTAGGCTGAGACCTAAGAAACACATACGACGCACAGAGCTACGTTTTCCACATCAGCATATGGAACTCTATCATAAACATCAGTCATTTTAAGAAGTTCTGGACAGAATCCTATTCTGAAGTTAAAATACTGAAGCTGACGTTTCTGTTATCTCCCACGCGTTTTCAGAAAGTCTTTTCTGTAAAACACAAACTGCTGGTATCCCTAGGAACTCTACTAAATTAAGGCAAGCATGGTTCTGCATGCACTAGATGGTTACTTGGGTTTTGTCTCCTCTCTGCCATTTTTTACTCACACCAGTCAAGATCACAAAAATATTCAGGTCTCACTAGAAGTTTCATCTTTAATTCTCCTTTCACCTCAAGCAAGAGTTTCTGTGCTGATTTGAAAGCTGTATTGCAGATACTCTAAGTAAAAAAGAGACTACTTAAGCATTCACAGTTGGACTCTATGGTCTTAGAGGTCTTTTCCAACCTAAATGATTGTATGATTAATGGAACTGCTGACTTCCTGAGAACTGAGCTCTGTGATTCTGGATTCCACAAAGTTTATTTACTGCGTTGGGTCCTGTTACAACCAGTCCTTACAGCAGCAGTACCATTATGCCTCATTCTGTGTGCTTTTGTACTTGGTAATTCTCAAACAGAAACCTGAGACAATGAAAAGCAAGTAAAATTTTACCCTGCTTACCAGGTCACTGCATTGCATAAAAAAAATACTACAGGTCTCACATGTCAAGCCAGCAGACTGTAAGCACCACAGGATCACGCTGCTCCATTATGGGACACTCAGAAAAGCAGCATTACCCAGCGTTCAGCTGCTATCGCCTTCTTTGCAAGATGATATTCTGAGTCTTTCTGAAAAAGGTCTGTCCAATTTTGCAGAGTAGAACTCTATATAGATATTAAAGCAAAAGATGAAAGAACCAATTTAAAGTCTTACCCAGCGAAGTCAAGGTCATCCTGGCCAACGTCAATGGCATTATCAGCAGCTTCAAATGTATCTAGGGGGAAAAAAATTGTTTACTGCTACAAAACAAAGTCAAACAAAGAAATATGAAGTCATTGCAAAATACACTATTTGTAGGTATCATTTTCCTGAACAGCTTATATAATCTACATCAGCAAAGGGCCCCGATACCAAAGGGTTCGTACTCCTATAGAAAAATACTCCACAGAATTTACCTAAAGCTAACTGGACTTTTTTAAAAAAAAAATACTTTTCTTTGAAAAATAATGAAAGTTTTCTTTTATCCAGGTTGTAGTTTGTGGCCAGAACTAGATGATGTGGGAAGCAGACAGACACAAATGGACACACAATTGCCTGGCGATTCAAACTTAGTTGGCAGGTGCAGTATCACAAGCCTCAAGCACTTGCTCCAAGTCAGATAGAACAAAGACTCAATTACGATACCCCAAGCAAGTGTCCTGCCAGCTAATCTGTATGTTAATTTTCAAATTAGAAGTATTCACTACAATTTTTGACAGAAAAGCAAGCAGACTAGAGGATGAAAGCTCCTATCATCAGATTCACTTAGGAACAAATTGCTTTATAAAATAGCAAGTAAAAACAAAATCTGAAAAATTACAACTGTTCTGTTTCAAAGAGTAAACAGTAACATTAGAGGACCCTTAATTTAAGCTTCTGAATTTATGAAGCAAATTCTCAGAGACAGGCAACTTATTAGAGATACTAACAGTAAAATGACAAACGCAATTAGTAACAGATTCTTGTCATAACTAAGACCATACTAATTGCATCACTAAGGAAGAATCCTGCTATAGGAGTTCAGAATTCTCTAAAAATATTGTACAGAACAGCTATGGAGAGCTAACTGGATTTATTGGTGGTTTTTTTTTCAAATACATGTATTATTGCACAAGTAAAATATTAATTCATAAAATTATGGACATTTTATGGTACACTAACAGATTTAGATTCTGGAACAAATCATACACTAATTCCAAAACAAAGAAAGCACACCCTACAGGAAGGGCTAAGATTACTGCAGAAGCTCGCCAAGGACCTAACTGAACAAATAACCTCATGAAAGGTGTTAGGAATGATGAGAAAAAACTGTAAGGAAGACTGAAAAAGGCCAAGCAGTAAATAAAAAAATAGAAGGAAATATTACATGCTGTTAGAAAAAGTTACTTAACCTTCAGACTACGTTAGGAACAGAACAAAAAGGCATGAA